GGGGGGGGGGGGGGGGGGGGGTTCAGATAGAAAGCGCCGACAGGACATAGGATAGCGCTGATAGTTAGCAAATGCGCATATTTTCCCAGCAACGAGGGAGTAATGGAGGGAGGGAAGGAGGGAGGGAGAGAAAAGGGACCGGGATACGACATGGTGGACAAACAGAACGACAAAAGCAAGACGAGTTGGAGAGAACTCCTGCAGCGGATGACGGCCACAACATCCGGCTTGCTACTTGTACACGGCAGTCTTATCTACTCGCGCATCACGGAGCACACACCATCTTGACACTATCACGAGTCTCGACTTACATTTTAGCACACAATATCCGTACCGGACTGGGTGACACAAAAACGGTACGCAAAGAATTTAAGTCGGGAATTCAACCTGGAGGCCCCACGCTGATTGGCCAACACCGCAGAGCACCGCTTTCTGGCGGCTCAAGCGAAGAGCGCCGTGACCGGGCTTCTCAGAACGGTTATCTCCCGTCTTGTTTTGCCCCCCGGTAAAACATGGTAAGCCCCAACTTCATGCCAACCAAAGGCTATCTCAAAGGCTATCTCAACACCTTGCGAATTGCAGGGAGAACAGGACTACACCAGCGGCACCACCTATGGCGAACACAGGAGCGCGCACCCATCGCCTAGCTGTACTCCCGGTACACCTGGTTACAAGCTGTGGGAATCACAGCCCGACAAGTAGTTGGGGCCTCCATGCAAGGGATGGTCGGAATTCCGACGGGGCCGAATAGACCAAGAGGCCTCGGCGTATCAACGTTGTTCACGTTCAGGGCCATGGTTGGGCGGTAGCTGGGTCTGCTGACTGTGGTGGTCTCGCTTTGGACCGTCCCGTGGTTGGTGCCTTCCGAAGAAAATTATCCGAGATTTGAAGAGGCCTGGCACCAGTGGCATCAAGCCGAATACATAGTCCTCACTACTCGGTATTTTTCGTCGTGACAGCAGCTGTAAAACCACGGTGACCCGGGGGAGGGGGGGGGGGGAGACCGAGAAAAAACGGTCACCAGCCGACTCGAGAAATTCCGGTCGCGGTTGTAGATACCCTTGAGCCGCCAGGAAATGCTACTCGGTGGTCTTGGCCAATCAGCGTGGGGCATCTGAGCTAATTCTTGGCAAAAATTGAAAAATTGGTGTGTGCCGTTGTTATCACCCCAAACCCCGTCCATAGCTGCTTGCTGCCGGTTGCCCTTTTGTCAATGTTTGTGGTGTTCGTATTAATATGTGATACCGCTCGCTGTGGATACCCACACACATGCAGTACGTGCGCGCATGATGGCAATCATTCACCACACGGGTCTTGCAGATGAGATTCATCGCAGCTTTTATTTATTAAGAGATGGTGCGCGGACCTGATCTCTCCTGTGTAGAGATTTCGAACCCAATCGTGTTTGAGACGATATGCTGAACCAGAGAGAGAAAGAGAGAGAGACAGAGACAGAGAGACAGATATCGATTCCGTCCGGTGTGGAACAGACACTAAAATATTCGCACGTGCAGGTTGTATAGCTCTTCGAGTTGTGGAAAGAAAGTCACGAAGATGCACCAACGGGCTCTTGCGCTCTGTAGCCATGCGTTGGCAGTATATGCTATACTCTCGAGTGTGGCCGTTCCATCGGAGTGGTCGCGTGTCCTTTCTTCATTGCTGCTGCTGTTGCTACTCCTGCTGCTGCTGCTACTGTTCTTGCTGCTGCTGCTGCCGCTACTGCTGTTCTTTCTCTCTCACCCTCTCATTCTCGCGCAAACAACAAAGGACAAGTTCCCTCTGTCTCTAGTAGTTGGCATGCAGCAAAGAGAAAAGTGCAGCTCCTTGATCACCTTCACAAAAGTTGACTTGAACGGGGCAACCCGGCAAGCATGGGCAGCCCAACTGCTGTATGTACACGACAACAGCCGTCGACACCACAGCAGTGTGTCTCCCAATCTAACCAAAACATTTGCACAACGCTTTGAAGTACATAGTGTGAGAGCACCGCCGTGGTTGACGATGTGTTCTCGAAGTGCCAATAGCTGACCCCCCCCCCCTTTTTTTTGCAGGGCGAGCTGCTGTATACAACTGCTGCTGTGTGTTCAACTTGGAAAAAGGGTGTCACTCGTCTCCACACACTACAAAATAGTATAGCTTGAGTATATTCATTTTTCCGCAGTTGAAAAACAACAAATCCATCTAGCAGTTGAGCTTGCTAGTGCAGCTTGCTTCCAAATGAAATTTGCAACTACAGCTGCTGTATCCGACTTTTTGTACGCAGTTTGGTTGCGGAGCTGTTCTTCGTTCTCACAGCCTTCCCGCCAACCCGCAACTTCGTTGTTGCCAAGTTGATTGATGCATTGATACAGCTACAACAAAGCAGTGCACAGCAGTACTGCAACAACCTCTGTCGTTCTTGTAGCTACTGATTTCTTCGGCCGTCTTATCGGAGACCCATCGACACGCCACCTGCTAGACGGAGATGTCCCGACACCCAACCCGACACGCCAACGAAAGCACACAGCTGGTCACGCCGCCGCGTGGCTATCATATGCATATGATCCCTCTGCTCTGGATCAACAAGGCTTATTCACGGTTCGACGAGGGACGGGCACAGCATTCTAAAAAAAATGCCGCCGTCTCTCACGTGAAGTGAAGCGAGAAAAAGCACCGCAGCTGTGATAGTCGCTTCCGCAGCGGCACTCGCGGAAAAAGACAGAGGACACCAGCAGCAGAGAAACTGATGGCTGGATCTCGCGCGCGTGTGGTCCAAAATCAAAATCTTGGAGGCAAAATCTGAAAAAGCACAGCAGCCCTCGCTACTTCCTATCTCGGCGGGTAGTTGTGGACGCACAGCCTTTGCCGAGACAAACCTACATGGCGTCCACACTAGCTAGTCCACACACACAAACAACAAAGTCCCGCCGTTGTCGCCAAACTGCTACACGCTCCGGTCGGCGACCCCCTCTGTCCGCCCATCCATCCCACGGTACAGAAGACACTCGGAGCAACCTTTCCACACACAAGCAGAGCGCAACACAAGCAGCAAAAGGAACCCGATTACTTGCTCGCTCTCTGTGCTTGCCTGAAGGAGAGCATGTCCTTGGTAAGCTTGAGCTGCTCGTCCTTCACGTCCGGGAGATCAAGCGTCAGGTAGATGCTGTCGGCTCGCTGAGCCCACTTGACGGGTGCTGTGTTGACTGCCATGTTGTATCGTGCTGCTGTGCTGCTGGTTGGGTCTGCTGTCTCAGGCGTGGTTGTAGTCCGTCGAGTGCTCTCTCTGGTGCCAACCTGACCTTTCTCGAAAAAAAAAATACGAAATGAAGGGGAGGGGTGGGGGGGATATTGAACGGTGTCCCCTGTTGCCGAAATTATGCCAAAGGTTTTGTAATGTATCGAACCGACAGTTTGTAGAGTTCCGCTTCGCTGACCCACGCGGTATCACGCCGAGCGGGCGGCACCTCACTCTCTCGTCTGCTCTCTCTTCCGCCGATTACAAGCACAAAGACGCTCATATAACCAGCGGCAGAGATAGATATAGCTCCTCGCTCTCCTCAACTTCCATCGCTATGGCGGAGAAAGCACAGTCAAACTTTCTGGTTGACTTCGCCCTCGGCGGAGTCAGCGGAGCGGTCGCGAAGACTTGCACCGCGCCTATCGAGCGCGTGAAGCTCATCATCCAGACGCAGGATGCCAACCCCAAGATCAAGTCGGGCGAGATCGCACGCTACAACGGGATCGGCGACTGCTTCTCCAGGGTGTACTCCGAGCAGGGGCTCAAGGCGTTCTGGCGAGGAAACATGACCAACATCATCCGCTACTTTCCCACACAAGCGTTCAACTTCGCATTCAAGGACACCATCAAGGGGCTATTCCCCAAGGCTAACCCGAAGACCGAGTTCGGAAAGTTCTTTGCTATTAACATGGCCTCTGGTGGTCTGGCCGGCGCGGGTTCGCTCTGCTTCGTCTACCCGCTCGACTACGCGCGGTGAGTTCAACGTTCTGTGGTGGTGGTGAAGCTGATACAAAAAGCGTAGACTACGCATGTATGTATGTAGACTGCAAGCAGTACTGCTGTCATACATAGACAACTGCTGCGCAGACGACTATTATTAGCGCCAATGAGGGTTGTAGCGAGCTCTGGCTTTAAACATGTGCTGTAAGGTAAAGCTGTACAGTAGAGCAACATAATACAGCAGTTCCAGTTTCTGGTACGCAAAGAACACACAATGATGACTGTGGGGTGCCGTCTGCGTCTGCCGGCTGCAGGCTAGCCGTAAGCGTATCGATATCAATATGAGCGCGGGGTAGTCACCAAAGCCGAATATCTTCATGTTCTCGATAATTGCAAAACCTCAAGCGGTGCAATGCGAAGGTCTTCTTCAGCATACATGGGTGTGATATTGTTCGTTTGGATGTTGGTGTTTGACCGTCACTTTTCTGGCTCTCCGCAGCGTTCAACTTTGTCAAAGCAACCTCTCTTCTTGCTAGTTGTAGCAGAAGATACTGTGCGTCGGATGAGTTCGAAAAGTTGCACGGAACCTGTGCGGACGGGGCGCCTAGCGGGACGCCTGTTTGCTTCTTTTTTCTATATTGTGTTTGCGTTGGTTCTTGGGCCATCGACCATAGTGTATAGCCTTTCTCGTGTGTTAGGTTCTTGCCGACGCTTCAACTGTTGCTGAAAGAAAGCATGGGGGCGATTGCGTACTGCACATTGTTGTCTCGAGGCCAAACATGGCCAACGGCGTGGGGGTAGGATCAGTGACGAAGATGCTGATATCTATGCGATCAACGGCCATAGGTGGAAGAATGTGACTGCTCGGTGCAACAACAATTTCAGGTCACCAGGGGCACCGATGTCTGCTTGCAACAACAACGACACCTCATTTCAATTGCATCAGTCTTGTAGAGGTAGGTATTTGCTAGGTTTGTATGAGTGTTTCATTCGACGACGACAGGCGTGCCGTGTGTATCGACAGTACAATTACCGCTCCCTGTGTCGCGCGTGGAGCACTTTGAAACGGATATGACTGTAAGGAGGGTGGGCTGGTACACGGTATGTATGTCTCATGAAAACAACGATACCA